CAAACCAAAATCATTAACAACCAAAACGGTAGATAGATATTGTATTTGGTTTGGTTAGTTTTGCTAATTTAAAATCTGATTAAATTGGTTTGATTTTGATTATGACCAATAACCGATCCAAACTGACCGTGAACAACCCTAAACTGTCTTAATGGGTGATCAATTTACCCAATATTACAAAATCAATATCGAACAAATAATCTGATTTTTTATTTTTATAAGACCATTGAAAACCTATTAACCCAATAATAGAATAACCCAATAACAATTGTTCGATAACATTTTATTCGATTCGATTTACTGATAGGTTTGATTTTTGCACACTTCTACACGGGATGATATTAATATTCATAGATACACTAAATCCACAAATGCATATTAAATACTCAATATTTAAATACATAATGAAAACACATATACAAAGAAGTAGCGAGATGGGAGAGGAGAGAGACGAGATACATTTGTCCGAGAATGTGTATAGAGGCAAATACAATGTATTTATAGGGGTCATTTGGTACAAAGATTAATAATGGAGGGATTAGTAACGCAGAAAATAGTAGTGCATGTATTAGTAATTCATGGTTTATTTTTATCAAGTGTTTAATTCATTGTTTCCCACCTCATCTTGTGTTAGAGTTAAAACTCTATAAAAATCTTTTTTTCAATTATATCCTTGAATTATTATTATGTAATTGAGTCAAGGTAGATAATTGTCGGACAATATTATTTTTATGACTTTTTAACTAGCTAGGAGAAGAACAATTTTGTTGTCATGTTTTTTTTTTTCACTTGAATTATTTGAGGATAAATAATTGTCATCTTAATAAATATATCACTCACAAAATGTCAATTTTCATATTAAAAAAGATAAACCATCTACTTTTAAACCGAAATCGACCACACACACTTCAAATATTGTATTGATTTCTATTGGAATTATTTAGGAGAAAAAGAATAAAGTGACACCTGAAGTTGTCCGGAATTTTCAAAAAAACACCTTAACTATGCGGACGTCCTATTACCCCCCTAAACAATCTTGAACTGATATTATTACATCATTTTTTGTCCACTTGGCATAGAGAGTGTATGCACTCTCTTTAAAGAGCGAGAACAACACAAAATAATGAATTTAACTTTATTTTTATAGTTATTTTGTTATAAAATATAATTTCTTGTTTTTCTTATTATTTTAACTTTTTTTCTTTGTTATTTTTCCTCTTTCTTCTTCAAAAATTCATTGTCATCTCCATTAAAACTCTCCACTTTCAATGTCGCAATTTTTAATTCATCGCCTTTTTTTTTTTTACTATTTTTAGTTTAAGTCTCTTCGATTTTAAACCTTTATCTATTTTTTTTAAAAATTTCAAACAATTTGATGAACCCATTAGATTACAAAATGATTAGGAGGTATTATTTAACTTTATTATCCGGATTTCATCAAGCTCTTTCAATTTTTGGGGAATTCATTTATTCTTTCAAAATTATTATTTTTAATTTTGAATTTATATGAAAAGAAGATAAATTAATTGATGATACTTTCAAAATTTTAAATTTTCTTAGAAAATTAATTAGTTTTGTTATCACTAACTCAACAAAGTTTAGAAAATAATGTAATTTTTTAAAGAAAAAAATCATTGGAAGGATGGAATTTGATGGAAGAAGAAGAAAAAAAGAAAAAAAAAGAGGATGGAAGGGGGAGACACAACTTGACTAGGGTGGAGAAGGATGAAAGTGAAAGGTAAAGAAGAAGAAAGAAAGAAAGAAAATGGACGAAAGATGTCAGCTTGAAAGTGGGGGTGGATGGGGTGTGATGGAAGGTGAAGTGAAATGTAAGATGAAATTAAAATAAAAGTAATAAAAATAAAATAAGCAAAAGTAAGAGAGAGAAAAAAAAGGTAAAGAAAAATTTAAAATGAAAAAAAAATAATATTTTAAATTAAATTAACACGTGTCAAATAATGATTGGTGTGTGATAACACTTGTTTTTAAAAAAATGAGATTGACCGAAAAATGATGTAATAATTTCACTTTAAAATTGTTAAGAGGGGTAATAGGACGCCTGCATAGTTAATGTGTTTTTTTGAAAATTCAAGACAACTTGAGGTGCCACTTTATGTTAATAAACAACTCTCTCTAAATAATTTGTTAGCTAATTTATTTAAATAAATTTACTAGTACAAATATAAAACATATAATCAAGAAAAAAACAAATGATTAAAATGATTTGAGGGATATTTTTGTCTTTACATAGACTTATCCATGATATTAAATCCTAGGCCTAGCCCATCGGTGACCCCCTAAACTTGGCACGAAGTTTCACTTAGGCACCTCAATTGCAATGTTCATTTTAGACACCTCATGTAGGGTCTCGCTGTGTCATTTTGACACTTTTTGCTGACTAAGCACAGTACGTGTGCTACACGAATTTTGAGCGCGTCAGAGACTTTTTTTGTAAATATTCTGAATTTTTCTGTAAATATTTTCTTCTCCTTCTTCTTCCTTTCTTTCTCCCTTCCATCTTCCCCACCTTCTACCATCCTCCATCACCACACAACTTTTAAAAAAAATTCTATAATATTTTACTAGGTTACACTCTTTGATTCTTCCATCTTCTTTGAAAATCGAATTTGCATCTTGATTCATATTCAAAAACAAAATCGATTTCAAGGGAACAAAAAAAGAAATCAACTTTTTTCAAATGAAAAAAACTGATTTACATTCTTACCTTCTTCATTGAAAATTAAATTGATTTCAAGGAATAAAAAATAAATAAAGAACATCCTCCAATGAAAAAAAAAAGAAATTTATTTTACATATCCTTCATTGTAAATCCCAATCGTAGTAGCACAAGAAATCATCTTCTTTTAAATGTCATATAAAAACTTTTCGATTTGGTATGATTTCCCTTATTCTCCAAAACGTATTTTACTTTGTAAACTAACTTATGTTCTTGCCTTTTTGATGGAGAAGAACATATGAAGGGGAAGGAGGCGCAAGAAGGAGAAGAAAAGAGGTGGGGGCATGGGGTTTGGGATCTGGAAGAAAGAAAAAAAGAAAGTAAAATTGAGATTTAAAAAAAAAATTAAAAAATTCCACGTGTCACATACCAATTTGTTTATTTTTCCACATAAGAGGCATCTGGAAGTACGCACTTAAAATGCGGTTTTGAAAATATAAAAAGTGTCCAAATGACACAATAAGGTTTGACATGAGGTGTTTAAAATGATCAAAGCCTAGTTAAAGTGTCCAAGTGAAAGTTGGTGCCAAATTTAGGGGGCTACCGATGGGTTAGCCCTAAATCCTATTAGTAATGCATCTTCTAATACCATGTAAGGTGTATAACTAATCCATAAATTAGTTATACATAGATTCAAATTCTGATCAAACACAGTACTATATAATACCATACATAATACATGAACTATTTCTCATAATAAAACTCCCTACCAAACGACCCCTTATTGCATTGAATAATTAATACCTTTATGAAAAGTTAATAAGTATTTTTTTTAAAATTCCTCTGTTATTTAACTTATTGGTCACCCCGAAATAATTTTAGTGAAAAGCTATAGAATACGGGTCATAAAAAAATGGTTGCCCACCCATTTGATTTCTTTTCTCGGTCTGCAATCTTGGCTTCTAAGTTTGGATCTGCCCTTCAACGCCTTATTTGTTAAGTTTTAAACTTGCTGTTTGAGATATTCATTACTGCTACATTTCAATTATCTCTGGTTTTTTCTCCAGAAAAGGTAAAATTTTCTCTTCCTAACTGAGAAATTTTTGGATTAATTATTGTAACTAACGCATGAATTATATATATGATCCTGTCTCGTAAAAGTTTAGCATTGTGATTTTTCTTTTTTAATTGATTTCTATTTTCTCTCTATACTAGTAAGGTCGAGTTGGGGAATGATTTATTGTAGAGATTTGAGTACTGGTGTTATGGATCCATGGCATTTTCCAGACATAAACAAGACAGAAATGAAATGCAATTTGAAAATATTGATTTTATGGGTTCCCTTTCTGCTCTTGAAACTTGTAAAACCTGCACCCTTTTGTGTAACAAGATATGAGATATTTTGCTGGTGTAATTTAATTTGAATCGGTGGCGTGGAACAATGGATGTTTTCTCCCCAGCTATAGTAAATTGATTAACCTTTGTGGGAAGTGATCTCACACAGTTGTCTAGTTCTACAGAGTTCTTGGACCTAAATTAATCACCTATCTTTTCTCATTATATGTTTGAATTGCAGTTATCCATGTAGTGGCTACTTATTTGAGCACCAAGTCTCCTAACCACTTTTTCGTTCTTTTCAGTAGGGGGGATTTTGATGTTTTTAGGATTTGATATTTGATCAAGTAAGGGGGGGGGGGGGGATTTGAAGTTTTTAGGATTTGATCAAGTAACTAACTTTAGCAGTTCTTCATCTCAGTACTGCTAGAAAGAGATAGAGGAAGCTTGGAAAATGACACTTGTTGTTTACATTTTGTGGTGATGGCAATGCAAAAATTTAAAGTCTCCTCCTTCTTGGCAATTTACACTTGGGAAGATAAAATTTGTTCCTTCGTCTGTATTATTAGACACTGTTCATTTACTTAGGTAATATGGCCTGCTGAGAATTTAGAAATAGGTGTGTTTGGACACGCCTACTTTCTTCATGAAACAGATTCTTCTGAAATTGGAAGAAACTGTGAAACTCCTATTGAAAGAAGTAAAGAAAACTGAGAATTCTAAAGGTCAATAAACTAAAATAGATTTCTTAATACAGCACAAAACCATCCTTCGTTATTTATGTGTTGTAATTTGTACAGAGTCTGACTTTCAGCTGTTATATGTAGTGCAGTATGTTGTGGGAATTTTAAAATTTGGTTCATTTGGTTGAAGTGGAAATTGCATGGCAATTGTTTTAGCTTCTCTCGTGTGAAAATAAAACTTTATTTTACTTTACCTGATCTATAGAAAAAATGCAACCTTTATTAATTGGTTAGTGTTTGAAGATCTTTATTTTTAAAAAATGCTTATTGCTTGCAGATATTTGAAAAGCCCAAGTGCACAATTACGTGAAGCTTTGCCTTTTGCCAATTGGGCACACCCATTTAAATTTGTACAGTACTATTTCAGTAAGGTTAACATCTCAATTGTCTTAACAACTATATGATAGATGACCTTAATTTGTGTCTTCGTGATGATACCTGCCATCACTATACATAAAAGTTCATTAAACTCTTTAGCATTACACTTTATTTTACATGTAGTGTTACACCTGAAATCTCTATTCATTCTTTAATAGACTCATTAAAAATCCTCATTAGTGCACGGCAAGCTTATGATATTTACTGTGGCATCATAATAGCCTCTAATAAAAAAAAATATCCAGCTATTCCGAATCACCAAAGTATGCTAGGCTGCTCTCCGAAGACATATGCAACCCCTATACCCCCACCCCTAATTGATTCCGTAGTTCGGATTATAGGCTCCGTAATCAGTTCCCTTTTGTCTCTTGAATGTAGAACACATCAGGACATCAACTTTACAACATGCCTTTTCACATCTCTTGTTGTAATTATTTAAAACTTGTTACATTTCATGATAGCATTTTAATTTTCACGGGGTTATGGAAGCATCATCTCCTTACCCTCGTCTTGTTCACACCTCCATGGCTTTTCTCCACTTCCTCTCATCATAGATGACTGAGCACTCTAAATATTTTAAGTTCCAACCTATACTACTCTCATGAAAGTTGATACCTGTGATTTTAGCATTTTTCTTTTGGTTGCCTCTCTGTTCCTTTCAATCTGTGCCAGTTGTCATTTCTCTTTCTCGAAACTGTCAATTTTATTTAGAGAATCTTCCAAAAGCTCTGCTTTCTCAGACCCAGCAAACAGTCTTTCCCCTTCCTATTCTGACTCCATCATGGAAACCATGTACCTTTGATACTTCCCAGTAGCTGGACTGGGTTTTGTCTTCATCATCCCCTCGATCAGAAATATGCTCAGGAAGCAAATATTAGACATGTATGATTGCACATTCCCAGAGTCTCTTTTCATGGTGGCAGATTGACAGTTCCTCTCTAGCCATCCCTGCAATCTTCTCGTAGTTGCTTTGAATTTCGGACTCTGTTGTGGAATTTGCTTCTTACTCCCTTCACCAATCTCAAATAGATCATCAGTCGAGATGGAACACTCCCTCCCCCATTCCAATCCCATGTGCTTCATCATCTGACAGCAGTTCAAACAAGGCTTCTCCCAATAGACATCCTTACTCTTGACGTGGCTTAATCTTTCACCAACTCCTATAAACTGGTCAAACTTGCCCGCCAAGCATGACTTTAGGTAATTCCTTTGGTTCTAGGTTTCCATCAATCCTTCTTGTACTCCACTATTTGATGTGTAAAGCGTCAATATCACATTTCAACTAGGTGTAAGTTTGTGTGTAATTGATGCTATTACCTGCATGCAAAAGATGGGGTCAAAGCTTCCTTCTTTCATCACTTCCTTTTCTATCCAGCTATTACTCTTGAGCTTTACCCTTAGTTGGGGGTGTTTAGAAGGTATGGTGAAGACTTGAAGCAGTGATTAGTAACTACTTCAGCTGTACCTTCACCTTCTTTACACTTGCTGCTTGAAATTTCAACTTCTTTACTTCTTGTAGCTGCAAAATTTTCTCTAAACACTATCCTATCAATGTCTGAAATCGGAAACAGAGAGCCGCTACTGCTCATGGCTTCCAATCAAAGGATTTTGCATATGTTGAGTTACTCACACTTGTGTTGAAAAAACCACACATATTGCAGAAATGTATGATAACCTTGGAGCACAGCCCGGAGGACCGCCTGCTAATACACAAGCGAACCCTTTTGGAAATGCATTCTCTGGTGCTAGCTCTGGGTTCATTAGAGGTGGATTAGGGGCTTATGGAGAAAAAATTCTTGGATCAAGTTCTCATTATGTTCAAAGCAATGTAAGTTTTCCCATAGTTTATTTTATTTGTATAGGTTTCTTAAAAATAATGATTCTTATGTTAATAGTTGTTCATTAATCATTAGGTGGTGGAACATATGCTAGGAATATATAATGACGTAACAGTAGGCAAAGGAATGTTGTTTCTCAATAGGCGAAGGAATAATGCTTTCTTTTTCTTTCTTTATTTACTTTCTTTTATCTATAGTCATTCCACCATAGTAATAGTTTTCTTGTAAGATTTCAATTTGTTTTGTTGTACTTTGATTTTTCTTTTATAACCGAGAAATCCCCAAGGGCAAGTAGCACACTTTGTCTTTACTTTGATGACATCATTCAATAGGCATTGTTACTAATACAGTAATGTAAGTGTGATTTGAACTTTGAGCTGAATTTCAGATGTAAGGGGGTTCTTCCGTCCATCATCATATAGTGATTGAAATTTGGAAACAAGGTGAAGAAAATTCCACTCCTTAATAACTGCAATTGATGAGTCAGTATCACTCAAATTGGCATCTACCTGAGAGCAAAAAAACTATATGACCTCTGCTTAGAAGAAGAGGAATAAGTGGTTAAAGGAGATGGAACCAATAATAATAAAACTGGAAAATTATTGCACCATCTTCTGATTCTACTCTTACAAATAGGTATTTGCCTCCCCGTTGATGTTTGAATACTCGTAATGTCTTGATGTAAAGTGTGCGTACCAGATTGGATGGAATGATTGTTAACAAGGGCGATTATTGAAATTGTGGGCGCTTGTATGTGACATAATTATTTGTGATCCCTAAGGGGGTGATGTAGCGCTCTAAGAGTTGGGGTAAAATGAGGAATGAAGATTCAAGTCCTAATAGAGGCGACACTCGGTGAAGATTTTCCAATCTGCAATCTGTTTACTTATTCATTTTTTTCCCAATCTGCCTAAGCCTTGCTGGGTGGAGTTACCCGATTTGAATTAGGTACCTGTGGATTAGTCAAGGAGGCACACAAATGACTTGGGTACCACCATTATAAAAGAAAGTAACATTACTACATAAGTCTGTGGGATTATAGTTTATTTAGCAAATGACAGGCATATTGACCCAGGAAATTACCCTGATGGTTGATCAATGAAGGAGAAGGTGATTAGAGAAGGGGCACAGGGTGGTAAAATGCTGAGGGAAGTGGAATTGGGACCGGAAAAGGGGAAGAGGTCGGACAGGGTATTTTGTCTTGCCAACAGTTGGATTATAAAGTACACTGCTAAGGGAGGGAAAAAGATTTGCCCTCACACAGCAAGTGATATAGATGCTTTCTTCATAAATGATATATGTATTTGAATTAGAGTTGCTTTTGTGACTGAAGCATCATGCAGAAACTAGCAAAATAAATAAAAGAAAGAATGAGGAAACCATCAGTGGGAATTAAGTAAATTGCCATACTTTTTAGGGTTTGATAATGCAACAGTATTTTAGAACTTTCTTTTCTAAAATATAGTTTTTCCTCTCTTGTACTTCAAAGTGTTTTAGCAAACAGAAGTCTCATGTGCATCAGGATTTTTTCTGTATTATCAACAGCAGCAACAACAACAACAACAACTGATACCCAGTGCAATCCCATAAGTGAGGTCTGGGGAGGGTAGAAAGTATGTAGACCTTACCACTACCTTGTGGAGGTAGAAAGGCTTTTTCCGAAAGACAAGTGTAATTTTTCTATATTATCATGAGCCACAAAAATGTCTTTTCGCCTTTGAAGTGCTTAAAAGCTAATTTCTGAAATAGTCAGGGGTTCAGCAAATACTTCTCTCGCCTAAATAATTCTAAATGATAATTACATTCTTAGTGGAGCGTTCACCTGCTTCCGTTCCTTGCACTTAAATCGCTGCTATCCCTCCCATTTTGCTTCATCGTTGTTGCAAATAAAGAAAAAAATATTTATGTATTTCATGGAATCACATTGACTGTAGTGATGTTTTGGAACAATAAGGTTGTGCAACACAATAAAGATATTTTCGATGATAGTACCATTAACTGCCTTATTCAACATTTTTAATGCCCAAAACATCTACCATTCCATAATACTTACCTTCTTTCAGATAAAAACACCTACCATTCCATCCATAATATTTTATTTTTGGATGACACTGATTGTGTAGCTTTGCTCGTAGAAATGAATTCTAACTTGCAACTTTTTTATGTAAACAGGTAAGTAGATATTTTTCTGATCCCCAGTACTACTTCCAAGTGAATGACCAGTACGTGAGAAACAAACTGAAAGTTATCCTTTTCCCTTTCCTACACAGAGTAAGATTTTGTTAGCCTTGATCTCATTGGAGTATCTCTTAGCATTATGTTCCCCTAGTAGTAATCTTCTCAACTGTATGCAGGGTCATTGGACAAGAATCACAGAGCCTGTTGGTGGCAGGCTATCCTATAAGCCCCCTATCTATGACATAAATGCTCCAGATTTATACATTCCGTTTATGGCCTTTGGTACTTATGTTGTTCTTGCTGGCTTATCATTGGGTCTACAGGGGAGGTAAGCTTATTGTTTCGTTGAGCTTCATTTAGGCTTTGAATGTGGTGGTTAGTAATAGTAATAAGTACATGATCTTTTACCCATCAAATATCTGTGTTGAATTTGGTAATGGTTGCTCACCTCATATTTGTTGAAGTGCCAAATGCCACGACATTTATACTTGAACATGAAGTGTATGAAATTTTAAAATGTTTTCAGCAACAGTACTTAATTCAGTTATTTGTGTGAAGCTATCTGCTACACCAGATGATTTCATTTTGTGCTAATCTCCTTTAGGCCATCTCGTCAATCCCAATCTAGGTTCCTTCTTTGGTTGGACAGTATGACTTGGGTAACAATTGAAATTTTGTTATATTAGATTGAAGTGGGTCCAAAAGGTAGGATTAAAATTAACATTACAGAAAGGGCATGTGATATCTTCTAAATACTGAATTATAAGAAGATACTCCTGCCAAAGAGTATATAAAAGAATGTTCTTTAGGAAAGTAAACAAATCTTGCACAACTCAACAGAAAATACGATAGTTAGCTATGGAAAAAGGAGTAGTTTTCGGCATGTCATGTCAGATATAATTGGTGATGTTTCCTTGATTTCTGGCTATGGTCTGTTTAGTCATATTCTACCCATGTGTATGCCTCTTTTTTGATGTTCCCACTGTACTGCAAATTGTGACATTTTACTTTCTTGCAATATCTTCTGTAGTGTGGAATACCTCCCTGCACTATATCCTCTTCCTTTTGCTTGTGTTAATTCTTAATCTTGTCATATCTTGTCAGGTTTAGCCCAGAAGCTCTCAGTTGGCTGTTTATCAAGGGATTGGTTGGCTGGTTTTTACAAGTTTCGTTGCTGAAGATGACGTTGTTGTCATTGGGTAGTGGAGAGGCTCCTCTCCTTGACATTGTTTCATACGCAGGATATGCTTTTGCAGGATTGTCCATAGCTCTTTTGGGAACAATTATATCGAACTATTCTTACTACTTTTTGATGCCGTGGACATGTTTGTGCATGGGAATATTCTTGGTGAAGACGATGAAGAGAGTTCTCTTTGCAGAGGTGAGGACGTACGATTCAAGTAGCCATCATTATCTCCTATTGTTTATTGCCCTAGCTCAATTTCCTCTTCTCTTTTGGCTTGGGAAGATTAGCCTTAATTGGTTCTTATGAATTACATCTCCAGTTGTTAAGGTGGTCTGGCGGTTTATGCTTTTGGAGAAGTAAAACAATCAATTTTTTTGCATTCCTCGTCACTTTCATGTTCTATTCTTGAATTCTAGAGACATGTAAATGAACTGATTATCCACTTACTCCACCTAAATGTGTACGATATTCCCACTGGTAACAGAAAGTACAGGGAGAAGGATTGAACGATGATTCTTTTGGTAGTATTTTGGTCGTATGTAACTAGATTTATGCTCTCATTATTCGATCTAATTCAGATATATTCATTCCGTTACATGAAAGTGAGGCATTTTAATATTCTCTAATTTTCTGTTGACTGTTGTACAAGTACATATGTGATGGTTGAAAGAAGTGAAAATACACCTGAGCCAGGCTTACAGTTGGGGTTTGGTATTTTGTTCCTTCACAGATGCGTTATCTGTGATTCAGCAAAATCCAACTTGTCTCTGCAGGTCTGCAGATTTCAATTGGGATAGCACTATCCTTATCTTTTTGATTAGGCAGAGTTGGTCTGCACAGTAAAGATGTGTGTGTCACATGTTAGCAGTAATGAACTTTCCCTGCCACAATATGTAAGATTATAATAACTAATTCCAACTTGGGCTTTGATTACCTTATCTTTGGTAGGAATAAAAATTTCAGAGGGAGGTCTAAAGAAATGACAGAAATTAGAATTGGCTTATGGTAAGATGCCTTTTCACTCAGAAATAACTCCACTGGCCACTTCCAGCCCTGCTCTGAAAAGTAGTTGTTATAATAATGGCTATTTTTCAATCATAGGGCTACAATATGGACATTGGTGAATTTCAGATCCTAGCCATTCATTTCGGATTTGTAAATATTACTATATCTTTCTATAATAATATAATAATTCTTAGAAATACGAGTTTAGTGCTAAGAATTTTGAAGGATGAAGTTTGAAAAAACTAGATGAGTAAAGAATGAATATTGATTTGAGTGAGAGTAGAGGGAAAAGCTTGACAGGGTGGGTCCAAGCTCTCATGGAATCTCATCTGTTGGTTAAAGGAGCCAACATTGCACGCATGATTCTTAACTTCCGCACACATTACAATAATTTCTCTCTCCTGGATGTTTGCATTATCTGAGTATAAAATATTACTACTTGATCACTTTCATTTTATTTCTCTACTAGGGAACTTATTCGTGCTTTGCGCAAAATAAAAAAAATTACACCATCTGTTTGGTCATAAGAAATTATAAATTAAAAGAATTTGAAATTTTTTACTTTATTTGAATATTAATTTGACCATGAAAATTCGAATTGAACTTTATTTATATTTTGTTTTAAGCAAATATAAAAAAAATTATGTATAAAAATAACTTTTTGATAGACCTTTGATTATATATTTGTCCACCTAGGTTATTTATATATATTTAGTCTTTGCTACTCAAGAAATAATTAAATGAAAACATGATATAAAAAAATTTCTAAAAAAACATACTTTATTATACCACTCAAAAAAGAATATAAACTAAAAAAAAATTCATCAGTTTTCTACTCATACTCACCACTCTAATATTTTGAATTTATGAATTGAAGATGTTTCATGAAATGTTGCTATTCATTTGAGTGTAGGTGTAAACATAGCGATGTTCAAATTCTTTGATTAAGTTATAAAGTTTTTAAAATTTTTAAAATTCATAATACACAAAGTAATACTATAACGGAAATAATATGTTTAATCTATTTGAGAATTTTTAGAAAAGACAATGAAAAAAATATTATACTTCATCAACTTGGTATATAAGCTAATAATCCAAATTAGTATAGGAATTGTATGACGTATTAATAAAATAAATTGAATTGAATTATCATATTGAAAAAAATCAAAACAAACATGAGAAAAAAGAGACACTATAAAAATTCAAAAGCCACTTCAAAAGACCATTTATTACATTTTCTTAACATAAATTTATGTTAACATATTTATTGAATTTCAATTAACATTGCAAGTTTATATGAGTTACAATCTTTTCACCTCACCCATTTTCTCGTATTCCTCGTAAATTTACATTGAACATTCTATTATAAATATTAAGTACCAATATTTTTGAATGAATATTAAATCATGTTGTTAATCTTCAATTTTTTTTATCATGTGTCCAATTTATTTCACAATTAAAGTGTTAAATGAAAAAAGGGTGTAAATAATATTTAATTTCATAAAAAGGTATTATATCATCTTGTCTATTCCTATCTATATAAAATTATGTGTTAACTTAAAAATATCTAAAAATTGTCAATGCGTATGTTTGGCCTTATAAATTAATTAAGAATGTGTTGGCATAGCCTTTCTAATGCCTTATTAATTAATTAAGAATGTGTTGGCATAGCCTTTCTAATGCCTTATTAATTAATTAAAAATGTGTTGGCATAACCTTTCTAATACAAGTCAAGTTTTAAGACCATGATGATTTGGATGGTGATAGAGCTGTCATTATTTTTTTCTTGAAATTATTTGTTTTTTGATTATTTTTTTTTTTGTATTGTTAGGTTTTTTTCTTCCTCTTTTTGAAAATCGAATGAAAAAATTAAGTTTTTTTGTTGAAAAAAATTATATTTTTAAGTATTATGAAAAAGCACATGGAAAGAAATCAAGATTTTTTTTTTTTTAGAAAAAGACATTATGAGATTAATATAATATAAATTTATATTACTCATATCATTTGATGAAAATTTATAAAGTCAAAAGAATTGATGAAAAATAATTATAGATCATGAAAAATTACAAAGAAATTATTTAAGAAAAAAATAAAGGCAAAGGAAGAGCATACAAAAGTTATTGCATGATGAAAACTCACACGTCAAAGTCTCAATTCAACATAGGAAATAATCACCTACTCAAAGTTATTGCATTCGAAAGTATAAATACATATCAAAATTTTAAATTAAAAGTATAAAATAATTATGCATTTATATTGAATAAAAGAAAAAAAGGCAAAGAATAAAATGTTTTTTATACCTTAGTGACTTACTGTAGGTTTACTTTTCCTGTCCATCGCATTGGACATAAAGATAATTTAAACCATTGTCAATTTTTTCTTCAACTAAATGAATCAAAGACAAACTGAAATAGGAAATAAAAAATAAAGTACTTGAAATGTATTATATTTTCGAAACTCCGAAATATTTTTCACACTATTGCATATTTATACTACTTTAAAACAACCAAAAAAGAAAGAAGTGGGCAAATTATTACCTTGAAAATGCAACTTCATAACCAAAATAATATTTAATAGCAGAAGTCTTCACGTAGATTTTTGTCTCTTTGAATTCGTTTGTAACAAATCGCATATCTATTGGGAGACAATGAATTTTCATCGTATATAATTACATTAAACAATTACAAAGTATTAATACATTTTTTTTCTAGTCTAGAAGGTAAATGCAATTAGATGTGGCTATTCAAGAATCAAAACATATTTCAAATTAATCTAAAGAAGTAATAATATAAGTAAGAAAGTAGACAAAAAATGTAAAGAGATAAGATAGAAGAGTTTTCTTATTCTTCTGAGTATATTCAAGTGTTTCTCAAATCTTCAAGTGCATAACATAATCCTCAAGACCTCTATTTATATTGTTACATAAAGACATATAAAGAGATAATAATAAACATGACATTAATTTTTGAGAATGTGGGGAAGATTAAGGGGTGTGGAAGATAAAAGAGGAGGTGGTGGAGGTGTGAGTTTATTCACATAATGGTGCAATTACATCTTGAAATTATGGACGTCTACATTAATATAACATATTTACAATAAAGCATTAGTTATTCAACAATTATATAAATATTAACTACATTAAAAATGAGGAGAAAAACTAACAAATGCCCCAAAAAAAAAGGAGAAAAAAGATAAATAGGAATGAAGGCCATAGATAAGTGCTACATCACCTTGTCTACATTTAGCTATATATATATATATATATATATATATATATATATATATATATTGTCATTTTCTTTTTTATATAATAAGAAAATACCCACAAGGCAAAAAAAAAAAAAAAAACTGATGAGACTTTTAATTTTTCAAATTATAGGAATTGAGTGGAGTAGTAATTAAATTTTTAGACATTCAATTTTGTACATTAAAAATAAAATAAATGGAGGAGTAGTAATTGTCATTTTTCTTTTTTATATAATATAAAAAAAAATAAAATATTTGACATGTGAAGAGTCTTTGATATACATAAATGTTCCTTCATTAATATAATACTTTCACAATAAATTAAATATTTTAAATATAAAAAAGGGCCAAAAGAAAAGAGAAAAAGGAAAAATTGAAATGGAGATCATAGAGAAGTGCCACATCACCTTCTCTATGTTTCTCCTTTATATATATATATATACATATAGATATAGATTTTACTCCTAGTGAATTAAATAATATGAAATATGTGGGCATAGCACAAAGAATATGATGCACTTCCCTTCATTTTTCTCTTTTAGTTAATCGCATTAGAATGATGATTCTCTCAAAATTTTACGTGTTTTACTTCAAGTTGTAGATACTTCTGCTTATATCTTTTCGTCTTTCAATTATTTAGTGTTCTAATACATTCACAACACATAAAAGGGTTGTTTGGTGACTGGTTAGAGTTATTCATGTATTACTAGTTTACGTATTAGTTATTTTAACTTTTTTCTGCATGAAATAATACCTAAATGACTCATAACTAGGGGTGAAATAATTATCTGCTTGAATTAGCTCATGTTAAATGAATTAGGTATCCAATCATTCAAAAATAGTCAAACATAGATCAATTCATATTATCCATCATAAAACATGAATAATTCATGAATATAACCACCAATTGCACTCCCCTTAAAAGTATGTAACATATAAAAACCTTTAAAAAACACTCTTATTAAGGGTGTGGTATAAGAAAAATATTACTTTCTCTGTCCCATTTTATGTGGCACCATTTCCTTTTTGGTCAGTCCCAAAAAGAATGTCACATTTCCTTATATGGTAAGTATTTAAAGGTACAATTCCTCTTTTACCCTTGTTGGTCCCACTTAATCTTAAAATAATACTCCATTACATTTATGAGGAGAGAGAAAAGTGAATCTACTTTTTAAAGGGCAATTTGGTAAACATTTCAAAGTCTTCATTTATTTCTTAAACTCCGTGCCCGATCAAATATTGCCACATAAAATGAGACGGAGGAAGTACTTATTTGAAATGTATTCTCTAGGGAAGAACAAAAATATTTTGCTTCATACCAAACACACCTTTAAAGAAAAACAATAAGAAAAAAAATGCTTGTAATCTAGGAGTACTTATTTCTTTTACATAATAAGAAAACAATTGATAATATGATTCATAATATCTGTTGGTCTACCCCATCTTTGATTCGTATATCAAATATGGGTTATTCGAATATTTTAATTTATGTATTTTTACTTGACTCACTTTTTATATCTATATTGGTTTAAGAGGGTTCAGCTGAATCCGCTTCATCAATTTTTTTTGGTTTTTTACATGAATAAATTCATTATAAAATGTTAGAGGTAAACAAAATGAGCCCACTAAACATAATGAGAAGCATGGCTCAGTAGTCTAGCAAGACTAATTACATGTTCTGATACCCAAGATCCTATCTCAATATAGGCAATAAGGGGTCGTTTGGTTTGAAAATGAGTTATGATGGGATAAGTTATGTTGGGATAAGTTATTTTGGGATTAGTTATGATGGGATAAGTTGTGTTGGGATTATTTTTTATTGAGTGTTTGGTTTGTTGTATTCAAAATAATAAATTTTAAGAACAATTTATTTGTTTACAAAAATGCCCTTCATTAATGTAAAAAGTGATATAACAAAAGGGTTGAAAGAGACATTTTTGTCATTTACCTATTTTATCCCGGGATAAGTTATCCCGGGATTACTATATCACCCAAAGAGAGGGATAACTTATCCCGGTACTAATTATTAATCCCGGGATAAGTTATCCAAACTTGTCAACCAAACAACAAAATAAGCGGTACTATAATTTAATCCCGGGACTATTTGATATTATCCCTCACACCAAACGAGCCCTAAACGTTTTAGCTTTTAAAGTAATTAATGGGTGAGTCCAGGTATTAATTAATTAATTAATAGATGCAGTCATATTGACCATTATAATCCTAACTTCTGCATTATGATAGGGATGTACAAAATCGAATTGAAAATCAGAAAAAAAATCCGCCTTATGGTTTGGTTTCCTTAGTTTGGTATTGGAAAAAAAAATCCCAACTATACTTATATTAATTTGGTTTTAAATAAAAAAAGTCAACCCGAGTCCAAACCAACCGACATTACATTTTCAGGGTGGTTGGACAATGCTTTTATTATAGTTGTGTTATGTATAACAAATATATATATACAACCTATAACATTGTGTATAATAATGTATATACTATGTATATTATGTGTATCACTATGTATAATAATGTATATGACGTATATAATGTACTAATATTTCTAAGTTTTGAATTTCTTCTTGTTTACAACTACCAGAACAACTATTTTAAAACAATAAAATTGAAAGTTGAATCCTTAAATTTTGAAATTAGTTTTGCTCTTTTCTATTTTTAAAATGAAGAACCCTAGATTTTTTTTTTGTTGTGAATATTTTTCTCTATTTTGTTTTACAAAAAAATTGCAAAGGGGTTTGGCTCAATCATGTTGACGTATTTATTTAGGAAAGATTTCATCTTCAAGAATTCTCAATTTGTGTAAATCGCTATGTCATGAAAAAATTTGTTAATGTTTACTATGAGTTTGAATTGTGGTGTGCATATATTTTAAGAGCTAAGCAAAGTGCAAACTATTTATTGGGATTGTATATATCTTTAACGTTATGTTCACATCATCTACATATTATCACCCTATTAAGATACATATTTATATAGAATAATTTCTGAAATGAGAGCAACTTCGTAGTTTACTCCTTATTTGATTTAGTAAGCATTTGGTAATAGGATTTGAGAGCATGATTTCAACAAATTTTGTAAACTAAAGTAAAACTTGGCCAATAAATTTATATTTTGTAAACAAAAAATTCATAAGTTAATATAGTTATAACTACCTACAATATCTACCAACCGTCTATTTCAAATGTAAACAAAGATTTGTAAGTTGGTATTATAAAAAAGTTGCTCTTTCCGATTCCATAAATCTTTTACTATTGAGTTATTCACACTAATGAGTTTATTCTATGCTGATAGTACAACAACATATCACGGGTAAGTTCCACGAAATGGAGTTTGGAAAGGCCATAGAGTATATATAGGTCTTATTCGTACCTCAGAGGTAGATATCTTGTTTCTGATAGACCCCCGGCTTAAGAAAAAAAGTCCAGAATAATCTCAAAAAAAAAGTAATGAAAATACAAGAAGCATCAAATAATAATAAAAATAATAGATAGTAACACAATAGATACTGCAACAAAATGATAATCGAGATATAAAGAACAACATATAGTAAATTTTTTTGAAGGAATGAAACTATAAGAACAATACTACGACTACTAATATGAAGGGACAATAAGACGAAACACGGCTACATACTAACTTTCTGTCCTAATTTGTGTCTTTCATACCCTCCTATATATCTAAAGTCATGTCCTTGCTAAACCGAAACTATTTCATGCCCTGTCCAATGATCCACTACTTCTTCAGTCTACCTCTACTTATTCTGAAACCATCCATAAACAATCTCTCACACCTCTACTCTGAGGCATATGTGTATCTCATCTTCACAAGTCCGAATCATCTCACCCTCGCTTTTCACATCATATCCTCCACAAAAAGCCACTCCCACCTTGTCCCACATATCCACATTTCTTATTCTATGCTAATAGTACAGAGCAATAATAGTGTCTTATGAATAATTTAATCCAATGTTTTTGGTTATGGATATGCTCAAGTAAGTGTACATCAACCCCAGGAACTGAGCCATCACCTTTATCACTTAGAAAGTGAGAAAACAAGTGAGCAAAGAATATCTGGTTGCAAAAACTGTAAAGTTAGCTATATATTGACTTACAATTTCTTCATTATAACATTCTTTGACAATTTGGAATAGAAGGTTGCAACTCATAGTCTGACAAAATATTCCAATTACATGTTCAGACAAAACTTCAACTTCAAATTCTTTTAAAACGAGGCCTTACTATAATGTGTTTCTTATTATCCATAATGTGTAATTTAATTATACTATATCATTCCTCTAAGAAAAAAATGGTCATTTCTTGCGTTATGCCACAAGTAGATAAATCATTTTGACATGTCAGATTCAAATTAAAGATATATATTCTGTTCTTAGAGCACTATCGTTCTCAATATCTCCAGTGCATCTAATATTCGATATACTTGGACATGTAGTAAGAATTATGCTTTAGCACCACCAAGGGGTACCTTACATTCTTAGGACCACCTAGGTTAATAATTCAAAAAAAAATATCAATTTTTATTCTTATCTATGACAATAAAAAAAATTACTAACAAAAACAAAAGTAGTACTTTATATTTTAAGATAACGAAAGGACTCAACTTAATCAGGATCATAGTTTGACAAAATAAGGTTCCTTGAATGATAAGTAGTTAAGTACTTGCTACTTTTAATCTTAAGATTATAAGTCTGAGTTATCAAGAGAATAAAATGATGAAAGCTTTGAAGAAAAAGTTAAATAATAGAATAAAATTAGTGATTGGTATTTGGTAGTTAAACTATGCAAACAAATTACTTTAAAAAATGACATTTTTGAACCAGAAAGGCACCTTTGAACCAAATTATTAGCAATATAAATATTTTTAGACCAAATTATTAGCTAGACATTTTTTTTAATTTCATGTAATAAAAGATTTTTAGACGTTTTTTTTTGTTAAATAAATAATTGTGGACTGCTCAGCGCTCACGCCCGAATCAGCTTTTAATATGCGGAGGATCCACAATGGATAATGATATATTATACAGAACAATCACTACTTTTTAGCTTTTGTCAACTAATTAAAGTGTTAATATTTAAGTAATATAAACAATGATAAGTGTATCTTAAACATGTGCTTAGCAAATTATTTTATTTAACATTCATTACATAAAACTGCTACTGTACAACATAGATAATCATATTCTTTTTGGTGATAGATGGACTTCTGTTCGAATCATTAAAGTATTTGTACATATATTATAAATAATACTACGTGTTAATTGGAAATCCAAAGTTATCCAAATATGAATTCATATATTACTATGTCTCTATCAGCTCTATCTTTCTCTTATTAACCAATAGTTTTTGTAGATATATACATAAGGTAATTTGTGCAGGGCCCCACCAGACAAAGCAACAAATAATGTCATTAAGCAGTTCTAATATGCTTAAATAATCAGTTTAGAAGAATTATTAAATTTTACAATTTAAGTCGGCTCTCAAACACATCAAAAATTGTTTTCCAAATCATTTTTTTTTTGTTTGATTTTAATACCAATCGGCACATGAAATTTTGTATCAACACCTTATCATCACGACCTAATTTGAAGTCACGCAACAAAGTTAATAAAATGCAAACTTTCCATGTTCTATTCACATTTATCAAAATTATCATGTCTGTGTGTCACATTTTCCCAAATATAATTATGTATGTGTTACACATTTTCTCAAATCAAACAATTATGCATATGTGTATAAACGAATAATTGACCAAGAATTTATTATTTAGACTCGGAGTGACGAGTTCAAAGACTACTGCTTTATTAAACCTTTTGTACCCTCTCTAATTATGGATAGGGAAAAAAAATTGGTCTCCCATACCATATCCGTATTGAAACACCAATTAAATCTGAAAAAAATATTTGTTGACAAATTTTTAAATTTTGTTAGGGCAAAAATGTAAAAGACTCAAGTTGGGAGAGAGGAGTAGGAAATAGTAGTAGTAGTTTAGTAGTAATTGATGATAAGCTGCTTGATTGAAACAGGTGGGGAAATGTGTTTATAATGACAGTGAAATAACTGTGTCCGATGCAATAGTGTCAAAAATCAATTTCGTCTTTTTCTTTCATTTTTATTCGAAGATTAAAGGCACGGTGAGGAAAGAGAGAGAGAGGAGGAGAGAACGGACCTTATCTCTCTTGCAAAAGGACATTAACAATAAAGGCAAAAACCAAGAAAGGAAAGAAGGAAAGAATAGAAAGAGGAAAGTATTCATACCCAAAATCGCCCACCTTCTTGCTCTCTGCTACTCAATCAATCGTCACTCGTCTCTCCATTTTCAAACTACACACAACAGTAAAAGGGTTTCAAAAAGGTACTTTCAGCTAACTCTGGAGGTTGTTAAAGACGTTTTTAACATTAAGCAGCAGCCTTTTGTGTGAGCTTTTGATTTCCTAGATTTATGGGCGGTGTTAATAAGCAGCTCCAGTGTTATGGTGAGTTTGGGACTGCTTGTTGCGGCGGTGCCTGACCAATTTTGATTATTTTATTTGGGAGATTTGAGCTGCCTACGTCACGATGAATCATTCTGTTCCTGATTTTGATATGGATGATGACTACTCTCTTCCTGCTTCATCTGGTCTTACCAGAACTAAGAAGTCCGCAATGTAAGCTTTATGTTCTTTTTTAATCATTTGAATGAAAGGTTTAATTTTCTGATTTGTGATTTTGAAGTGGAAGAGATTTTTGTTTGTTCTTTTCATAGGGCGGAAGAGGAAATCATGGAACTACTGTGGCAAAATGGTCAAGTGGTTATGCAGAGTCAGAATCAAAGATCTGTTAAGAAATCTCACATCGGTAACGGCAGTGGAGGCGGTCGTGATGCGGTTATTCCCTCTGACCAAGGTGTCAGTAGAGAGATCCGACATGTAGAGGAAACTACTCCACATCATCTGTTTATGCAGGAGGATGAGATGGCCTCATGGCTTCACTACCCACTCGATGACTCCTCCTTCGAACGTGATCTCTACTCCGATCTCCTATATCCCACGCCGACTTCTACCTTAACCACCGCCGCGCTGCCACGAGATAGCCGTACGTCTACGTTGGAGATCCGTCCACCTCCGCCACAACCATCGCCAGCAGCGCCGATTGGAACGGCTCCTCGGCCACCTATACCTCCTTCTAGACGCTCCGTCACAGAAAATTCAAATCGGTTCCAGAACTTCGGACACTTCTCGCGATTGCCTACAGCCAGGTTAGAACCTGGTCAGGCAAATTTAAGCAAGTCACCGAGAGATTCAACGGTCGTGGATTCAAACGTAACTCCAATTACAGGGCAGGAATCTAGAGTTTCACACGTACCCGATAATGTGGTACCAGTTCCCGGCGGAAATGTAGGATGTAGTACTATAAACGGCAGCACCGGAACTGCGACTACGTCAACGGCAATTAGAGAACCGACAACAACATGTGACATTTCAATGACGTCATCTCCGGGTTGCTCAGGAAATAGTGTAAGCGCCAGTGCCGAACCACCAGCACCAGCACCGTCGCATAAGGCGGCGCCAACGGCAACGGCAACAGCAGCAGCAGCGGATGATCGGAAACGGAAAGGAAGAGAAACGGACGACGAAGGTCAGAATGAGGTGAGCAGTAATTGTTGTTTTCTTCTCTTGTAATTCCCAATTACTCGCACCTGTCTTTCACAGGCGCTGTCGTTTTTCGTGGCTCGCAAGAATATCTAACTTACGGTGCATTTTAGCGTTAGGAGGGATTTTTCTTGGTTACGTCACATGTTTGTGCTGTAACGTGACGTGGCTTCGAGCCGGCAATTTTGTGGCTGTTGTTTAGGACACGTGGCAGATCACTAACCATAAAATAAAGTTTTTCTACTGCTTTTAGTTATGAGGTGAAAAAGAAAAGGAAACATCTATTAGTGGTTAAAATAAAATAATAAGCGACTCTAGAACCTTTAGAAAGTACTTACTCCCTCCATTTTAGAAAGAATGATCTTGTTTGACTTGACACGGAGTTTAAGAAAAATTAAGAAGAGTTTTGAATCTTGTAGTCCTAAATAAAAGTTCTGTCAAATAAACAAAATTGTCCTTTAATCTTGTGGCTTTAAATATGCCACGTGAAAAGTTGAAATTAAAATGTTACCAAAAAAAAAAAAGGTCATTCTTTTCGAAACAGATTAAAAAAGAAATGAGGTCATTCTTTTTTAAACGAATAGAGTATTTTTTTTTCTTTTATTGCCCCCTGTTTATAGCAAAGGTCACTGGAGTGTTTGGACTTATTTAACTTTGTCCCATTGTCTGTGTTAACCATTCGTGATGCAACGGAGCTTAAAGAAGAGGGGGGCCGTATGTGATCTCCTTGGGAATGTTTTCTGAAATCAGCATATCTTATATTGTGCTGAATTTTCTGACAGTCTTAAAATCATAGTGTCATATGAGGATAAATTATTTTTTTTAAAAAAAATAATGTCTACCTCATTTGTTAATTTCATTTTATGTCGTGAATAAGAAGTTAATAAAAGTATCCTAGAACTCCTAACTTTAAACTTGTCATGTGATGTCTATGCATATATGAAGTTATGTTATTAATAATTAAATTAAAAATTTAAACTAAATAGTTTTAAGGAGTTCCAGTTCTTTTTCCTAGATTTATAACGTAGGGTCATGGATGTGCCAAACTTTCGAATACTAGTTACTAGTTAGGCATTGTTGACCTTTTCACCTATAAAATAAAATGAGTTAATGGTAAAAACTGAAAAAGTAAATGCACACACTTTCATAACTCAACTATTCATTGATCTCTACTTTATTGAAACTATCATTTCCTATAATAGTAAAAAGTATCTCGATGCCGGGTTAGCCAAATATATGTTCCCTCGACAATAGGTGCGTGTAAGCCAACTCAATATCGAAATTTGTTTTAATACAAAGGGAGTGGTAGTTAGGGTATGAGGCTTGTGAATAACTGTGTTTGTTCCATACTGAACTCATGATTAACGAAAGTGTTTTCCTCCATACCAAACACACCTTATTTGGCTTTGACTACTGTCTTTGCTACTGTATACTGGATACTTGCAAGTTTCACATGACAAATCAGAGCAGTGGTAGTTTAGTTTTTAGGAGACAACTTTGAGTGGACAAAGAGTAGAATCTCTTTTCCAAGAGAGTGTTCTCAAAACAATCGAGAAGCATCTCATTTTCTCAACACTCTTAGAACATTGAATTCCCATTAAGGACCTGAATATGAGTGAAAAACTGTTTGAACAAGCTGTATGTATACCTCAGTACCATAATGTTTACATCAGATGAAACCCACCTCATTGTTCTTTGCTATTTCTCTTGACTCCCTAGTTTGCAGACAGCATTCCAAATTGCACCGGGTCGACTTGCAAGTTACTTCTAAATCAATTTGTTCCTCTGAGAGGATTAATAATTTGTTTCAAGCAGAATTCTTTTTGCGATAAGAAAAGAAGAAAATTAAATGAAGTAAAGAAAGGAAGTGTGGTACATTTAAGTCTAAATACTTTCTAAGGTTACCGATGAGTAGGAGCAATCGAAAACTCAGGAGCACTTAGAAAATCTCATGGTCTTTTGATGTATAAATGTAAGAACTACCAGAAGGTGGCAGAAAGAAAATTTCAAAGTGGTGGGAGTGAAGGGATTTTGGCAATTGCTGGCCACTTTTAACTTCCCTCCTCACCAGAAAGGTATACGCCATCTTACTTTTTGGGAGATCATGTGAACTTTTCTGTTGTAAGATTGTTAAACTCAACTTTCCTGATGTCTTGTCTTGTGGGAGAAAGACAAGAAACTCTGGAAGTTGAGAACAAATTGTTTCCTTTTTGTTGAGTTACTATTAATGCTTCATTAACTTATGTCTCAATTTCCCTAGGAAGCTGAATTTGAGTCTCCTGATACAAAAAAGCAAGCACGCGGTTCAACATCCACAAAGCGATCTCGTGCTGCGGAGGTCCATAATCTTTCAGAAAGGGTATGTGTTGTGCAGTTGTTGATTTGAGAGTTTTGAGAATTTCACTGTTTTTGTCATTTGACTGTTAATCAACATGCCAATGCTCCAATCACCACAGAGACGTAGAGACAGAATAAATGAGAAGATGAAGGCCCTGCAGGAACTCATACCACGCTGTAACAAGGTTTTGGCCTCTTCGTTGAATTCTCTACAATATATAGAACATATAGTTTACTCTCCTCTTAATATATTTGACTTAATCTTTTGTTGAATTTCAGACGGACAAAGCTTCAATGCTTGATGAGGCAATTGAGTATTTGAAATCACTGCAATTGCAAGTGCAGGTACATTTATTAACATCTTTTTCATGTATTGCCTCTTGATACATTCCAACCCTTCTTGTTCAATTTCTTTATAGTAAAGGAATTTGATAGTCCTTTCTGAGAGGGAATAGTTTATTGTAGTCCTATACAATATTTGGCCTAAACACCAGAAAGTTGGATAAATTTACACCTAAAGAACCTCATTCTCTTAATGCCTGCATCTTAAATATAAATAATAGAAAGTCAAGATATTACTAGAAATATTTAGAACTACTTTTTTTTATGTAAATATTACATTCTTTCGTTGTCTGCAAGTCAATTCGTTGCTTTATTTTAATGTTTGTATATGGTCAAATCCTTTTTTATAACCCTCTTGGATGTGCTTATTTTAAGTGCTTTTAAGCTAAAATAACTTTTAGGAGTGTTTGGATTAAAAAGAAGTGCTTGAAAGCACTTGGTTTAAAGACAAAATCATAAAAATAAGCAAAGCCATAAAATAGGATTTATAACTTATGGCTTGTGACTTCAATCCAAACATGCTCTTAGTAAGTTATAAGTCAACAACATTGTATATTCAAACTACTGCCTTTCTTCTGGTATAACACACTTTTTCTCATTTACAATATTAGTAGGAAGTAGCAATGGTAACTAGATTACTCAGAGCACCAGTTAGGGTCGATCAGAATATCCTTATCTCATAGCACTACAGATACTCAAATAAAGAACAACCTAATAAGGCAATCATATAATATCTAAGAAATATAGAATCTAAATTACCAGTATTTGTAATTCATGTAGCAATATCTGGATGATTCTAATGCAATATTTGGATATTGTCTAAATTTTAAGAACTTGCATGTTAATTAAGTACTACAGCGTTGGACTATTTTTTAGTGTTATTGTCCTAGTGAAACCAAATCTCGTCGTTACTTCACTACCAGATTTCTTGCGAAAGTGAAAGCTATAACACATGCCTTTCCTATTTATTACATTACGCTTTTCATATATTTTACATATATATACACATATATGCGCATGCACACACCATGTGTGCATGTGTGTGTGTTCCCTAACATTATTTTAAGTGTGAAATTATGTATTTCTTTGTGGTATAACTTATTCAAATGACGTTGTAAACACTGCTAGGGCTCGATTGGAGACTTGTATAATCATAACTCTGGTGCTATACTTCCATTTTTTCTATTGATACCATAATGTATGTATACAGTATATTTATGTCCACTACATAACGGCATTACTATTTAGTTTCCAAATATTTACTGCTAAAAGATTACATTTGCTTTTTGTTGAAGGAGGAAACAAATAATTTAATCGATGAAATGAAAACCTTTTTATAAATAGAACAACAAATCCTCATTCTTTATTTGCAAAATTTTTAAGTCTCTACACTAGTTTAGTTAATTCTACGACCCGTGGTGTTATTATCATGGTCTTCTTCTTCATATTCTATCTATGAGAATGACCAATAGTTAATGCTTCCTTACTAAGGGCAAGGACAACTAAACTGGGCCACTTTAGGGCATTCAACGTTTCTTCCCTAAAAACTGCTTGGAAGAACTCTTTTGGGCTCCATTAGTGTTTGTTAGAGTGGGTTAAAGTCCCGTATTAGTTGGGTGATGGAGTGACGGTCTGCCTATATGTACTTGGACAATCCTCTCCTCATAAGCTAGGTTTTGGGGTTGAATTAGGTCCAAATGTTATATCTTTACATGGTATAGAATGTATATAGGTTTCATTTCTAGTAAAGTAAATAGCCATATTAAGATAGGAGATTAATTTGTAGGTATCATCTTCTATATCTTTCCTAAGTTAGCAAATAATCTATTGTATATACTCATTGCTTACCTTTTGGAATAAGATAACTTCTTCCATCCGATTACATGGTATCAGAGTCAAGTCCTTCCCTTTTTGGAATCCCGGTCCATGCTCTAGTTGGGTCGGAGCGCGAAGGGGTGTTAGAGTGGGTTAAAGTCTTGCAATGGTTGGGAAATAGACTGACGGTCTGCTCATATAGACTTGAACAGTCTACTTCTCATGAGCTAGCTTTCGGAGTTGAGTTAGACTCAGGTTTCATATCTTTATATGGTATAGAATGTATATAGACTTCATTCCGGTGAAGTACATAACTATATTTAAATAGTAGGTTTGTAGGATTCATCTTCTATCTCTTTCCTAAGTTAGCAAACAATCTATTGTATTTATTCATTGCTTACCTTTTGGAATAAGATAACTTCTTCCATCTGATTACATGGTATCTGAACCAAGTTCATCTCCGTTTGGGTGCCTGGTCCGCGCTCCAGTTTGGTTGGGGCGTGAGGGGGTGTTAGAGTGGGTTAAAGTCCCACAATGGTTGGGTAATAGATTGATAGTTTGCTTATATGGACTTGGGTAATCTTCTCCTCCTGAACTAGCTTTTGGAGTTGTGTTAGACTCAATTATCATATCTTTATATGGTATAGAATGTATATAGACTTCATTCCTGTAAAGTACATAGCCATATTTAGAAAGCAAATTTTGTAGGAATCATCTTCTATCTCTTTCATAAGCTAACCAACAGTCTATCATATTTATTCACTGCTTACCTTTTGGAATAAAATAACCTCTTCCATCTGATTACATGGTGTAAGAGTCAAGTCCATTCCCATTTGAGCTTCCGGTCCACGCTCAGTTGGACCTGGGTGTAGAAGGGGTGTTAGAGTAGGTTAAAGTCCGCATTGGTTGGGAATGGACTGCTGATATGCTTATATGGATTTGGGCAATCCTCCCTCCATGAGCTAACTTTTGGGGTTGAGTTAGACACTGCAACAAAAATCTTTATAGTGTTAATTCTTTCCCAGTTCCATCATTGCTCATAAAAGAGCAGTTCACCTTGTAATATGTGGAGTTAAGTGCTTAATTTGTTTGTAGCACACTCTTGATTCAAATTCCATGAAGGTGCTCAAACGTCATTATTGAATGTCAGTTGGACGTGAATGGAAATGTAACTCCTTTGCTGGAACAATTAACCTATCTCTTTCACCTAGTGTAGTTGAAAATATAGATAAAATAGACCAATGTACATCTTCAGTGTTACATCGTGAATATTAAGGATTCACTCATCATATTCTCACTGCCTTTAACCTCCTCTTCCAAAAGTGACATTCCTTGCTTGTCAAAAAATAAAGTTCATTATTCTCCTTAGTGACCTACGTTTCCAGCTCAGACTTGGTCTGAGCTGGTGTACATATATTCAGTGTCAAGGAGGTTTTCATGAGTATCTTTTATTAGAGTTTCTCAACTAATCTCTGGTTGTGTAATATGCATGCTGAACTTAGTTGTTGATATAGCCATGTACTCCTTTTTGTTATTATCTTAAAAAAGATTTGTACTCGCATCAGAGTGTAGTTTGATCATATGATCTGTTTGTCTACAGATGATGTCCATGGGATGTGGCATGGTCCCGATGATGTATCCTGGAATGCAGCCGTACATGCCGCCAATGGGAATGGGGATGGGTATGGAGATTGGCATGAACAGGCCAATGGTGCCATATCCACCTCTATTACCAGGTGCAGTGATGCAGAATGCAGCTGCAGCAGCACAAATGGGTCCTAGATTTCCTATCCCTCCATTTCATTTGCCACCAGTTCCAGTTGCAGATCCATCCAGAATGCAAGCCTCAAGTCAACCAGATCCAATGCTAAATTCACTTGTTGCACATAATTCGAACCAGTCAAGACTTCCGAATTTTAGTGATCCATATCAGCAGTTTTTTAGTCTCCAGCAGGCGCAAGTTGCATTAGCGCAGGCAAGCCCTTCCTATTCTACTTGGTCCTTAACTCATTTCATAGCGACTATGTCAATGTAGTGAGCACCATGAACAAATCTACTTGTTGCTTAATTATCATGATAACTATGTCCATGTAGAGACCACGGGCAACAAGTTTACTCTATGCATCTTGCGATGACGATTTATTTTCACCTTGGTCATTGCCTCATTGGTCAATTGCACTTCACAGAAGATTGTGTTTCTAGATTAAACTTATTCTCCAAAAGAAACAGATACTCTTGCTTTACTTCTATAACTTGCCAAATTGAGTTTTACTTGAATGAGTGTTTATAGGATGGATGCAGTCCAAGCCTGTTTCTCCTTTCCTTTCAATGTGATCCATATGCTTTCTCTAGTGATATGTCATTTTATAAAACTTGGCTTTTAAATGCAGAATCAGGCAGTAGAACAGCCAAGTAGCAATAAATCCAGCAGCAAAAAAGAAGTTGGAAATCCAGGGAATCATCAATCTGGCAAGCTTACTATTCAGATCTTATTGTTTATAATATATGCCATAATGTGGCGGTTCTTAAACAACAAACTGGAGAAAGAGAAAATTAAATTGAGACCTCATTGAGTTGTAATCTATTTTCAGGTTGATCAGCTGGACGCCAGAGCGTTTGAAGATTCCAGAAACTAAATTTTGTAGCGTATGAGGAACATCAAGTGCAGGTTGATACAAATATAGCATCACTAACTTGTAATTATTACTAGAGTATCCATTTTGCTTTTACATATTGTGGCCCTGAAATCTCATTTCCATTTGGCATATGTGGATATAATTTGAGGCCAGTGTTTCAACGGCATATGTGATCTTGAAGAGGTTTTAAGCATTTCCCGGCATATGATTCTTCTTACCCCCAAATTCATCTGTCTGCTGCCTCTTTTAACTGCTGCAGACATTGATGATCATAAACATATTCATGATAATTCTCAGTCTGATGCACCAAAATGAGGTATGCATCGGCTGTATTACTGATATCTCTCTACTATACTATTTTGTGCAAGTCCATATATGCTATCAAAATACGCCACTTTTTCCCTTCAAAATGCATTAAGGGCCACTCAATTTTGGATTTAACCAAAACAGACATCCCATAAATGTTGTGATTTAACTACCGTTTGACAGTATTTATCTTTTAATCTTGCTCATTACAGATCGACTTTCGCTTTTTTTAAAAAAATTGTTTCTCGCTGCACCATATATCGGTGATTTTGCTCTTATTTTTTTAAAAGTTTTTATATTGTTGCACCATCAGCAATTATCTATCTCTTCTTTTTTTTTTCTTTCCCTCTTGCTCCACTCTGAGGATATTTTTTTTATTTTTTTTTAAGAAAAAATGAGCAACCTGCTTAACGTTTTCCTTTTTCTAAAGTTCACTTCACAGTGAGCAATTTGATATGTTTTTTTTCTCAATATCGCTGTACTGTTAGCATTTTCTTATTTATTTATTTTTTAAACTTCAACTTGCTGAGATTAGCATATTAGCTGAACACCCCATAATTTACCTTACAATTAGGTTGGTGACTATTTTGGAGAAGATGATATTTCATTTTTGTGGTTAAGCCAAAAAAAAAGAAGAAGATAAAAATAGTCTCTTTTTCAATCAATAAAAAAAAGTCATTTATAAGTGTCCTTGTGTGCTTTCATTAGATAAGGCATAATGCCAGCCCATTCTTTCTATTGGAATTGTCCATCAATTGAGTCAAACACCATTGCTGTAAACAACAATTAAAGAGTAAATAAAATGATGTACACTATTTATTCATTAAAGAAAATCCCTAAACTTACACGACTCTCATGAATTCTCAGACCCTTTATCCATCAAAGAGATGGAAGAAAATGAAATGTTATATACAATAATTTTGACGAAATGATATAAACAATAATATAAAGAGCAAATTGCTAAACTATGAGCGAAACCTTTTTTTTTCAAAAAAATAAAATAAAATCGCTCCACAGTGGGTTATTTGCTTAGTTATTATATCGCTTGATAGTACGCGATTTCATTCATTTATGTAGTTGAGTGATTTGCCCTATGTATTCATGCTCAGTTTCATTTATTCGCTTTACTAAAATATTCAGTCATTCTCCTTACAAAAAATCCATTCATTATTTAACTTCATTCATTCTAAAGATTGTTGTATTTTAACTTTGTTTATTCAAAACAAAATGGATGATATTAAAGTGAGAGCAAATTTATATTGGGGTGGTAATATTGTGCATGAACAAAATGAGTATAAATGATCAGGGTTGTATCGTATAGAACCACCTTCATGCACTTGGATAGTTTGAATACTCTCCAAGTGCATAAGGTGGTAATATGGGAGAGCCTAGAAATGCTCTCATGCACTTGGATACTTTGAATACGAGTGACACATCTATTTTCATCAGAGTTAATTAATCGGTAAATAAAGTGATAATTTTTTATTTATTAAATTAAAAATAGTCTTATATACAATATATTTATATTTTTATATTTTATAGGTGTGATCGTTTTAAAGATGCAGGGAATCAATGTACACAAATTGTGAACAATAATGATACTTGTGATGATCGCCTTCGTAAATTGGATAATGATAAACCTTTGGAACATGAAACAACAAACAATGATTAAATGTCCGATGATGATAATGATGTCAATGTAGATAGTGAACCCCTTGGAGATCAAGCATTAATTATCATTCTACTATGATTCCATACTTAGATTACATTGAAGAAAGTATGGAAGATTTTATCTGCACAAGAGATGATGGTGCTATCCGAACTACACTCTGGAATCCCAACAATCTTGAATTTATCCGGTCAAGTTAGATTGTTGCAGTCTTAACTTTTTGTAGTATTTTTATTAATTTGTTTTATATAACTCTCCATATAATTTTAAATAATCACATATTGTTTCAGTAATTAATAATTTCATATCAAATTTCAAGTCAGATACACCTTAATACATGAATTTTTACTATCGGATACACTAAAATAGGGAGAGAGACAAGCGAAATAGGAAAAAGACGAAAGGGATTCCCATATACATGTGAATCACACTATTGTATCTGGGATATCAGATATAGGAAGAGAAGCGAGTGAGGGAGGACAGTGACGAGTGAGGCAGGAGTGAGGCGAGTGAGAGAGGAGAGTGGCTATCGAGATAGGAGAAAGGAGAGTGAGATATTCAGATACATGCAAATGCAGTTGGATACAATGTATCTAGAATAAATTATACCTAATTTTGACTCATGTATCCGAGATACATGTATCTAAACATATCTAGACGTGCTCTATATATGTATCCAAAGTCCAAACTCATAAAATTCGTGACATTGCAAATTAGAACGTATCTAAGTAATTAACTCCTAAATTTAGTGGGATTTCCATAAGTTCATCAATAAGCTAGCTCGATAGTGACTGACCCAGCTCAAAAACAAAAAACAAAAAGACAAACGTAAAGGAAAAATAGTTTTACTTACTATCTTTTTAATACAATTTATGAAATTTACCTATAATGGCCATTCAGCCATATTTTTTTCCAAAACAAATATGGCAATGTGCGTCTTTTTTCTTCTTCTGCATTCTGCTACTTTGTCTTCTTCTTGGCTGTTTTCCCTTTTTCTTTAAAATTCAACGTACCATAAACCGTAATCATTTCAAATGATTATATGTCAAAAGACTCGAAATATCGAGATGATTTCATACGCTAGTAGAATTGGGGAATTGTCTATGCTTGTGTAGTAATGATCAAAGTCATTATGTTGATATATGGCGGATGAAAAGTATGGAATAACTGAATTTGGACTAAAGATCACATTTTAAAGGATAGTATTCAACTAGATATTTGTTATACAGACTTATACCACTCTCAACTTGGAAAGATGAAGAAATCTTGATGCAACAGGATCGTGGAACACAAATACTTTCTTATAACCCATAAGAAAAGAAGTTTAGGAAGGTCAAAGTGTACGGCGGATCTGCATCGGCAAGCTACATCTCAATTTTTTACTCCCTCAAGAATGTCACTAGGAAAAGTTTTCAAGTCTCATATGTTTATCCGTAAGGCGAAGATTAAGATAGTTTTGATATTTAATGTCTTATTTCTCTTGGATATTTTGTTTCACTTTAATGTTTAATTTCTTGTATAATCTAACTTAAAACTTGTCAACTTTTACTGTATTAGGATGTTATTGAGTTGTGGTAGCATACCTTGTCCATTTTAACATTATTTGCAATGTAAAGTCTCCAAAGCTGCATTCCTTTTGTTTATTTCATTATGCACTTGTTTGAATATGTGCAACAAAACGTTGGCCTATTAATCAAACATGCCTTGTTTGGATAAAGTTAATTGGGTCCTCATTTGGGTAATTTCTCTCTATTTTCCTTGACGGAAAAAAAGTAAAAATAATTTTCTAATAATAGAAGTAGTCCTAAGGAATAAGTATAGATAAATAACAAGAGCAATGATATCTTCCATAAGAATTAATACAAAAAAAAGCAGGTGTACTGCCATCAAAGCAACACGAGAAATACGTTGTATCAAGCTAGAACAAAGTCGCCCTCAGAAACGCGATGGTTTGCTTTATCCATTCTTCAGTTTCACAACTCTAAAAAATCCTCAAATTCATTTCTCCCACATCCCATCTTGAACGATCAGTGACGACTGCTAATTTTCCTTTCACTCCAACAACTAGCTAGTTAAACTTTCATTGATTCCTAGATACTAAGTAGGTGTAAGAAACAATACTAGGAAAACAAACTAATATTAGTTAACGACTTGTTAGACTTCAATAATTACTTTCATTTAATGACTCTGTACGATTACTTTGGAACTTAAAGTGGACTCTATAGTCATTTTAGCCTGAAATATTTTTCCAAACTCTCGAAGCCTACTATATATTAAAGTCCAATCAATCCATAAGACCAAAACCCTCAGAATTATCTCCCTTTTTGTTCATAGGAAGTGACATCCACGAACACCCAAAAATCTAAGATCTTCAAGGAAGATTGCAAAGGAAACAGAATCTCTCATGTCACGAGGATTATGGAT